CTAGTGGCCTTCCTAAAAGAGGAGCTAAGGCCATAATGAATTTCCTTCTGATTTCAATGGATGAAACTGCCTCTTTAATCTGTCACCAGGGAATGGAGAGAGTGAAAAGTAGAAACTTGTGAAATATGAAGGTATCTTTCTCCAGGCCATGAAAACAATTGATCAAACATTCATACTACCAAAAAAAATGATGAAGCTAACCTGTGTTGCAAGATTGACTTCTAAAGCTGGAAGGTATTCAGCAGTACACCTATGGAAGAAACAGAAATGTGAAAAATACAAGGAAAAAAAAAAAAGATCTTGAATAAAGAAAACTAGCAAAGTGATGAAGCAGTAATGACATATTTTACATTCCATCCACCCACGAAGGAAGCCTGAAATCTTCAACAGAAAATAGTGCTTTCACTTCAGGAGAAGAAACCAGTTTCAGGCGTGGAGCTGTGTATTTTCTGCCAACTGGAAATATAACCTGCTACATCATTAAAATGTTAAAACTAATAATGGAAAGGGAAAAATAGAAAAAGCTTATGAACACAAAAGTAAATGTGCCAGTAACTAGAAGGGTATGCACTTGTGCTTGAGATGTGGAAAATATGTTTTCAAATTGTGTATTTGACTCATAGGTTATTGGAGGATGGCATGTAACAAAAATCTAAGGTGTTATCATAGGCCATACATGTATCTATAGTAAATATCTAAAGCAAGTCACGAACGGGATTGATATATTATTACAGTCTAACCCATGAACTAAGTGAGAAAAATTGTGAACACAAAAAACAAATGAAAACTGATTCATTCCTATAGTTTGCTTCAAAGATTAAACAAAATATTGGTAAATTTACATACAGCAACTCTATTGTGATTAGTAAAAAGGGCATATCTTATTGTTTTCATCTTACTTTTTTTTTTATAAGCAATTTTCATCTAACATTATTATTTGTTAATGTAAATTGCCATCGCCACTTAGTTCAACATAAATTGCTGTCTCCTTCAAACAGGAAAAAGTTTAGCTTTCCATACAATTTTTTTTTCTCTGGAGCAATCAAGACAGCAAATTGTTTTTTTTTTTCTTTTCCAAAATGGTCAGAATTAAAATGCTTGCTGTGGTTTTATGCTATCATGCGATACTTATAGACACAAAATAAGCAAGGATGATACTAGAGCAGCAAGATCTCAGAGACGGACCTGTAAATATATCTTCCGCTGATGTCTCCAGGTGGATCCAACAACCATCTTGTTCAAGTCCAAATCCAGTAAAGGTATGGAAAATTTAACCTCTTCTGGCTACTCTAAATGAATGGCACAAAACAGCACTAGTAGTCAAGTTTTGGGTATAATACATCCAACTTGATTTGTAATGCAAAGATGTTTCTTTTCATAGTATACCTTGTCAATGCCAGAATTCACAAAGTATTCAATTCCCTGCAAAGCAAAGGTGAAAACTTAGTCTGTTCTGCCAATATGCTAAACACAAATTGAAACAGAAAACACATGATCAGCACAACAATACTATTTACATCAAACATATTAGGCAGACACGCAGAGAGTATGCAAGTAAAGGCAAAGAATATTGGCATTTGCAAATCAAAATCTCATTATTAAGGAGACTACACTAATATTTAAAGCTAAACCATACTTAAGGTACAATAAGAAAACATTGAAGACAAAGGGTATGGAATGTTGAGCCTTTCAACAACAGACTACCTTAAGAGTTAAGACCAATCCAAATATCCAATCCCTTACCTCTCTTGGAAGCATAGTGCTGAATTCAAACTTTAATCTATCATCATCCACTTCTCCAACTCGTTTCCTTTGGTAAGCCATATACAACTCCCTACCAAGCAAACAAACTAAAACTCAACCAAACTACCTCCAAATAGACTTAAGACAATCTTGAGCTATGAGAGAAACCCGCAACCACTATCCAGAGTCAAACTTGTAACCTTGTAATTACCAAATTAACTGCCAATCAATTTGACTTAAGACAATCTTAGAGTAATTAAAGACAGTAACCTAAGCTCAAGAATGAGCGACAAAAGCCGAGAAGGATCTTTGTTGTTCCAATCAGTCAATGCATTCTTGGTGTCCGCTGCATCACCAATACTATGATATGGCCGAAAATTCTCATCTTCCGGCCCAAATATTATATCCGGAGCCATGAGTGGGTACACTGCATTGTATATAACATCCCCTGCCCAAATCAAAACTTCATTTCTCATTATTTATTCCACACACGCACATTTACAAACACCTAACACGCAAGCCAGAAATACCGACACTTGATGTTGTCGAGGCAAAATGGGATAACTAAAGTGAAGCGATCAAGCAGGCCAGGGTTTTTGCCTCCTCCCCACATTTGCTCTACCTGTAATATACCTAAAAATTCATCACTACGCACTCATATATTGTGATCCTATAGGTGTATATACACATGAGAGAGAGAGAGTGTGTGTTCTCGGTGTATAGGGTATAAGTAATACCTTGATAGGGAAGGGGCAGTGAGAGACTAGGTAATTGAGCTGAGCGGCGATGAGGGGAGGGACGCTATCGATTGCCATCGCCTTAAGAAATCACGTTGTGTGATGTTTCAGACTAAACCTCCGGCAGTCTCGTAGTGTCCGGCGACGGGCGATCTGCTGAGATTGAAATGAGTCGGGACTCGGTATCGCCGTATCGGGCTCTTATCTCAGGGCCACCGCACCCAACAAATAATGGACTTCTAACCCATTGGTCAGTCCGAGACTCGGAGCTCATCACCAACCGATAGTTGTACTGTGGACTATAGTCCATATTGTAAAATGAACATTGATTTACATGTTATTTTTAGTATGTTACTTATTTAGTTTTATCATATTGTGATTTTATTTTAGAAAAGTTATTATACTTTTTTTTTTTAATTTTTAGTGTGCTATATATTATTTTTAGTATAGACAAAAGTGTTAGTTAAGTTATTAACTTAGAGAAAAAAATTTAATTGAACCACTGAATAAAAAAAAAAAAAAAAGTTTAAATATATCATTAAATTATAGAATAACGTCTAATTCTTTCATTTGGAAGGTTGTAAGTTCGAGCCTTAGTGGAGGTGTTATTGGTTCTTTGTGTTTCGATAGATTTAGAAAGTATATGAACAGATACTACATTGTAATAGAGTCAGTAGCATTCAAAAAATAGACTAACGTCTAACTAAGTTACTGAACAAAAAAATAAAAATAAATAAGTTACTGAATAGTGACCTGTAATAACAGATCGCTAGATTTTCAATAAGTTGCGCCAAACCATGAGGTAAAAACCAACGGATAGTCGTCGGTTGCCTTCTCTAAATAAAGGTGACTGAGAAAATTTTAATTTTGGTCACATGACTATAGGGGCATTGTTAATTTCAACACCTGACTTTTAAAAATGTCAATTTAGTACCTTGATTATGTAATTTTTGTCAATTTTGGTCACTTCGGCCAAATTGACAATCAAATTTGGCCGGAAAAATTTAATCCAACATTTAGTCTATAAAAGATCCAAAGACGATTTTGCCCCTAAGATTAAAGACTAAATGATTGACTAAATTTTTCGGCCAAATTTGACTGTCAATTCAGCCTGAGTGACCAAAATTGACAAAAATTACATAATCAAGGCACTAAATTGACATTTTTGAAAGTTAGGTGCTGAAATTAACAATGTCCCTATAGTCATGTGACCAAAGTTGAATTTTTCTCAAAGGTGACTTGTTGATCATCTTCTTCAAAGAAGGCACCAATGATTGTTCGTTGGTCGCCAGTCGTTGATCTTTTTTTCAAAGGTTGTTGGGACAGTGTCAAAACCTTATCGATTTGTTATTACATGTCACTATTCGGGTCTTGAACTTCAATACACTAAATTAATATGTTGATGTTTTAATTACAACTTTAAAAAGTTCAAGAGTCGAATTAAAGTTTGAAACATATTTGATATTTTTCCTTTTTTTTCCCCCTTACTCTCTCTTTTATCTCTTTCTTTGTTAAATCTTAAAAAAACTTTCTCATATTATTGACTTGCTATTAGAGCATCACCACCAACGCCATAAGAGTTATTTGAGAGATAATGTTAGCAAAAGTAGGAGATAGAATGTAGAAAAGAGAATGGTAGAGTTCTCAAAGACCTGAATCTTGAAACAATAATATTGTGCAAAGTTAAAAAAAAAAAAAAAAAAAAAAAAAAAAAAAAAAAAAAAAAAAAGAGAAAATGTTGTGTGCGTTGAGTGCACAGCTTGGCCAAAGCATGACACATGCACTGCACGTGGCAGGTGGTGCGTGTCAGCCCACCTGACAGTATAATTTAAATATATAATTTTTTTTCTTTATTCTCTTCCATCTCACATTCTCTTTCATAATCACACTTACAAAAACCATAGATCAACTATTGTGAATGCTATTAGATTGAAATGAAATGCCTAAACAATCGCTTCCTGCAGTCAAAGCTATAGAGGTTAAAATCGTAATTCAACATGCAAAAGAGATAAACCCTAATTAGGCTCTTCGCCTCTTCCCATCCCTATAAATCAATCAAGTATGACGCGTATCTTTTTCGTTCTGGTTCTGCTGCTTCCGGATGCGTCTCTGGCTGCCTGTTGGTTCTTTTCTTTCATTTCAATCTTTACAAGTTTATCCCGATGAATCTGTGTGATGATTCCGGTTAGATTAGTGTCGTCTGAGCTGCCAATCGGCGTTCTGATGCAATAATCCAAAATTTGTGACGTTTTCATTGCATCACAGTTATTAGTGTTTTTGCTGCTTGCTGTTGTTCTACTACTCCATGAAAGGATTGATTTTTCTTCACCTTTTTTTCTCTATTGGGTCTGAAGTTTGACTCTTTGGCACCATTAATGGCCATGCCTCAGGGATGAATACAGCACCCTATATCAGAATTCTTCCTTCTGTTGAAATCGGGTCGGTTTTCTTGTTAAACCAACCAGACCATCTATGAAGGGTACATGCTCAAAATTGGAAAGGAAACAAAAATGGTTGTAAAAACTGGAAACAATTTCCACTGCCATAGAATAACTTAACAATGATGTTTCATGACAAAAGAGAATATAAAGGACAATTAAGAATTGTAAGATATACAGAGATGCAAAGAAGGATAAGATACAATATCGGTTGTCTTTCATTCCAGGCTCCAGGTCTGCATCAAGAACCAGATAACAGTAGTTAATTGCTGCTATTTTCTTGGATTAATGTTTAAAGTGAATATGAAGTGTGAATGTATAAACCAACAAACCTGAATCCTGCCATCAGAGCAGCCAACAAAGATCATCTCTCCATCTTTATCTGGTGTTAATGATGTGATTCTTGTGTTCCCACTGCTTCTCAATTTGAGGGAGGCAATCTTTGTTGCTCTTTCCTTTTGCCAAACCTCAATGGTTCCACATTTCATGGCCAAGAATATGAAATCAGTGTTGACCATTACCTGCTGTATGTCAGAACTGGATGGGAATAATCCTATGACTGCCTTGCTGGGGAGGGAGAAGATCTTCATATGCACATTGGTAGAGACGATAACAGGAGCCTTAGTATCCATGAACTGGTTACGAGCTTTAAGCTGAAAAAAAAAGTTATAAACTTGAAATTTGCTCATACCTTTCCTGCAATTCCATCAACTGAGGAACCTCCAGCGAACAAAACATCCTTGTGAATCTCGAGGGATAGTATAGTTTGTTTGCCTAACAACTTTTTGGTCCCAGTGTAAAATGTTGTTGTTGTGTAAGTGCTTAAATCAACTTCCTGTCATTATTGCTGAATTTTTAGACATTCATTGAAACTTCACTGGTACTTAGACCAAACAATGCAGTCTACAATACCTGGATGCTGTACCCGGTGCATCCACAATAAAGCTTATCGCCTGCCAAGGCAAGACACTTTACATATTTGTTGAAATTTACATGCTTTGGAGATCCAGACCAATTATAAACCTGCAAAAGTTATAGTTCCAGTGAGATTTCTCAATGCTATTAGGCAAGTTTGAAATATGGATTTTCTGATGATTTTAAGTCAGCATCTCAACAAAATGTGATGTCTTGTCAAAAAATATAGATTACTGGCCTTGACTCCAGTTCCTTGAGTTGAAAAGCATGCCACATTCGAGTTAGCTGTCAACTCCAGCACCGCCTCTTTCATATCATGAACCTGAATACAGTGAATTTCACCTTGTTTGATAGCCCAAACCTGTATATGGAAGTTGTTAACATCTTTTCAAGTATCTGAAAAACAAATGTATAGGAAGGAAACACATAATTCTAAGAAAACAGATGGTAAGCACAAACACTATAGCAGATAACAGGCTGCAATTCTGCAGTTCTAAACATTTGTTTTGACATCAGTACATCAGGGCTATCAGTATCTATCATCCATTTTCTAACCTCTAAAGCAGAATCAGGGGTGGATGGCTAATACAAATTGCTTCAGGAGAAAACATGAAACGATTGGGATTGTGCATTTTGGCAATCTTGCTTCCTTCCCAATTTATATGAACATCTCATATTTATGTACTAGTACTACACTGCATAATATAAATCATACCCGAATTGTTCTATCCAAGGAACCACTGTAAAGTTTATCACATGAAGATGAAACGTGAAGGCAAGTAACAGCCTTTGAGTGTTCACGAGCTTCATAAATTAGGCGAGGAGTCCTCTTTCCAGTTTCCCAAACCTGAATTCAGGAAAACAAATGTTTTCTCTAAGTACGTTAGCCAGTTGTAGAATTTCCTCCTATATGAACAGGTATGCAAGTATTAGATACGGAGTATTATTTAGTAGCACACATACTTTTATGGTTCCATCAGAATGGCTGCTTATGAGCCGGCCTCTTATGTGAAGTACAGAAAGAACCTCGCCATTCATGGACGTGTCTAGCTCAGGACCTTCAGTATAGCTCCATAGCTCTGCCTGCAGTTCCAATCACAAGGGCATTTAAGACAGCTATACCCATAACTACTGAAAATTTAGCATTTGTACAAACAATTTAAGGATATATTATGTATAATCTAAATGGTCTGATAGTCAGGCTACATATTTATATTTGATATATTATATGCTCAACACCATACTCACTGCATCAATACAAGGCAATGTCATCAATGCTTTCATCATATCACCAACAACTGTGGAGTGCTTCTTGAGCTTCATCAATGTTTTACACAGGCATTTGGCATACACCCCCAGTTCATTGAGGGCACCTTCATCATCAGTAATAATAAAGATGAATCAGTAGCATTACTGTAAAGCTATAAAGCTGAAAAAGAGATTTCATATAAACTGCTGCAACTGCACTTCTAAACCAGCCTTACCAAAATCACTAATAAAGCCTCTCAAAGCAAGAGTTGCCAAGATCTTCTCCTCGAGGTTCTTTGTGGATTGTAGTGTGTGTATGAATTGATCTAGCAACGACTTACGGGCAACATCTCTAACTCCTGTATCTGGCAACCTGTAAAGCATGTGGATGAGCCAAGTGGCTGTAACAAGGCAAGATCTTGCAACCTCCATGGAATTGCTCTTTAGACATTCCTCTAAAGCTTTGAAGATCACACCCTTCTCATGGTTGCAGAGTACAAACACTGCTCTTTTCTCCCAAGAAATCATAACTTTCTCTTCTTCACCCTAACCATAAACACACACACACACACACACAAAAAAAAAAAAAAAAGTTACAATTTGTATGATGGAATGTAATTCCCAAAAGCCCTCAAATAACTCAGCAAATGAAGGATGCTCCTTTTATTTAGACTACAGTTGAAATGGCTGAATAACTTCATACCATCTTATCAGTGAAGTCAGTTTCACTGTTTCTCCTCTTCTCTTCTTTTACCATAGCATTGTAAGGCTGGTGAAATCCGGCACTCTTAAGTAACCAGGCTTCAAGAAAAGACTTGCCTGAGGTTGTCAGGTACCCTGAAATACATGACAAGGCATCCAGAGCCCTGATTTGAGAAGCAGGAAAATCTTTTCGGCGAAGGGCTTCAATTAAAGCATCTATTGATTCTTCCCTGTAGATGCTCATTTTCTTCGGGTCAACCTTGGGAAAGAAATTTGGAAGTCAGCATTCTGGAACTGGAAAGGATAAAAAATTATCTGAGAGAAGAATATTTTCTGTGACAGCATTTCAGTTTAAAATTGTTCAAACCAGGAGGTCAAGCTGTAGAAGTAGGGCAGCAATAATAGGTTTCCGCTCTGCTGCTGCCATCTGTAGACAGACAAGAAGAGTGTGCATAGTACTAAATGCTCCCTCATCCTTAATAATCTGCAAAATCTGATTACACAAAGTTCTCCTGAAACAACAGCAAAACTGTAATTTAGTACACCATTTTTTCAGTTACATAGGAATTCTGATAGGTATTCTACTGAAATTCTGATTCAAAGTGAAATAGCTTAGTTACCTGCTCTGTAGGACTAACTCATAAAGAAATTCTATGCATGTGTCTCTTGTGCGGTCATTTTCTGAATGAATTAACTCAAGAACTGGTGACAGCTCAATTCTATTAGCTATAAGATTCCGGCAACTCTTATCAGTACGTATACAGCATAAAAGTACAGAAACAACAAACTCTCTTCCACTTTCCCTCTCCAGGCACTTAAGTAAGGCCGGGATACCACTTGCTGATATAATGTTCTTAGTATTGGATGACCTATCACTCTCATCACCTCCCATTATAATCTTCTCAATCAAGGCCATGGCAGCATCTTTAGGTGCAATTGCCAATTGAAGGTCATTGCAGTCTTCATTTTTGTTTGAGATCATCTGGATGAGGGAGGGTATAAAGTTGTGAGCAGAAAGTTGAGAGAATGATGGTCTCAAGAGGTGTATGAGAACTGCAGCTTCAGCAAGACCATTTTTCAGTAAAGCAGCCAGGCATTCAAAATCAGTGTCAACACTAGTAAATACTTCACTGACACTGTCATCTGCATATATTAGCTCGGATAGTATGTAAACTGCTGTCCTGAGAACTTCCCTATCTGAAGAAGCCGATATAACCTCCATAAACCCATTGACTATTGTTGGGGATGATAAATAAGAATAAAGTCCTGATTCAACATGTGAATCTCTCCATGCCCTGGCTATTTTCAATACAGCTGCTTCACACTCTTGCAAGTTGTCTGAAGTGCACAGACATGAAACATAGGGTTTTAATGAGTTGATAATTGCTCCTACAGCAGCACTAGGTGGCTGTGTTAATACTGTAGCTCGCGCAAATCTCTGGGGTCTATGCTCAATATTGCCATCCCCAACCCTATGGTTGGGGGTATTCAATGCATGAGATGGGGTGAATTCAGATGACATTTCTTTTGAAGAAGGGGTACTTAGATAACTTCTTGGTGTTTCAGAGTATGAAAACTCCTGAGCAAGGTCAGGATGCTGTTCTTTCCAAGAAGCAATCAGTCTCTTTAGGACATAATTTGTTTTGGGGAGACAAGTTGCAGAGAGGGGCTGCCTTGTAATGGGGCAAGTTGTATTGCCTCTGTCCATCCATTCTTGAATGGCTTTTCTTTCATATGTTTGACCGGTTTCAAGAGTGACGGGATCATTGAATATCTGGCTGGTAATTGGACAGACAAAATCTTTTGGAGGCCTTGATTGAGGAGTCGACTTTTCAGAGTGTGTGAAAGAAATGCAGCTTTGACTTCCTTCATCACTTTCGTTCAAGTAGCTGCAATATTTTACAAGACACAAAGGAGTAAAATGACTAATGAAGAGTGCTTAAAATGTAACATGAGTATTCCAGAAAAGTGCCTCTCTTTAAGCCTAAGGCTCAGTGAAATGGCTGCAAAAGAAAGTTTGTATTCTTGAACATGAGACCCCTCCTGCATATGTGGTCATGTGGTCACATGTTGGGATTTTCCAGCACCACCTGGAATTAGTCACCTCTGGAAAACTCAGGACGCACTTACAGCTTTTGATGTAATGGTAAGCGCTTAGATCCAACATCACACAATTACAAAAAGGTGATTAGTAATGAAAATGTAGAGAAAGGAATCGTACCACTTTTCTGATAATTGACTGGCACGCCGTCTATGACTTGGATTTTTCCTCAGAGTTTCATGTTGATCCTGCATGTCTAAGCCAAAATCAGTAGGAGACCACAACTGAGGTTCAGGGAAGTTTAAAGCTAGTTCTGGTCTGAAACATACTGCCCCTTCGCCATCAGACTCCACTGAACTGATGCTTGGTTCCTTTAATGAATGTGGAGAACCAGTCAGAGATGAGATATTTGCGGTGTCTCTAATCCGAGTGGAGAAGAGCCTTATTACAGATGGTCCTTCTTTCTTAGAATTGTTCCCTTTTGGAGATGAAAGCTTCGCCGGGGGAGTTCTGGGAGAGTCTACAGGAGATTGCTTCTGACTACTCGTTTTAGTCAGCTGTCTCTTCAATCTAGGTTCTTTTTCCTTGCATATTCCAACACTGTCATAAGATGTCTTCTTCATGTAAGCCTCAGGTTCAGATTCAAAGTCTTCTTCATTCTCCCCTAGAATTCCCTTTAAGAATGTGAACCAAGAAACAACATTAACCTTGCCACAAAAGGCGAAATTTCCTTACCCAGGGCCCTACATCCAGCCCCAACAGAATAGTGGAGGGTAAATCACAATGACGCAATGACACATTATGTGGGAGGAGTTGGAGGACCCATGCCTGATACTCACAAGGAGCCCACCACATTGGGTGTAACTCCTACATTGAAGCTCTTAGGCTCAATCCAGTGTCATTGCCAGCAATCTACCCACCAGGAATCAACTGAGCCTGTTGTGCAGGCAAAACAACATTAACCTGATTGAGACTAAATGCAATCATAAATTCATGGTGATATGATAAAGAACCTTACTTGGGGCTCCCAAATTGTCATTTCCTGATTCTCTGAAGAGGAAGAAGTCGCACTCAACCTGTTAGACAAAAGGTCAAATAGTTATAGCTTTCTACATGCACAATTATGGGAAATCCCCACGAAATTTCTGATCTTATGGATGAAACTTACCTTGAAGCTTCTTTTGCTCTCTCTTTGGCTTTCAAGACCGGAGAAAACCCAGCACTTTTGGTTAAGATAGGCCCGAATTTGACATAATCCGGAATCGACCGGCTCACCTCACGCAAAGGGGTCATAGGCGCTTCTGCAATCGGCAACATAGGAATCCCCTTCTTCGCAGTAGCGAAATCATAGTTCATGCAGTCCTTGAAGTATCTTGCGTACAGTTTTGTATTCTCATCCAGCGACTGCGCGTAGAGCTGCTCCAAGTTCTGCATCTTTTCAGCTTGATCAGGCCGCACGGAATAGACAAACGATTCGTTGAAATAGTGATCGAAATCTGCCGTGAGCGACAAGTCACCGGAATCAGGAACGACGTCCATCACTATCCGATGCCTCTCCTCCGAGTACCAGCCAACGACGGAGCTCATGTGCGGGAGAAATAAGGATTTCCAGAGCTCAGGAGCGAAATCAACCCGGGAGAAAAACGGGTCGACGATGAACATCTCGAGCATATGAAGAACGGCATTGCGAACATCATTTCTCAACTGCCGCAAATACGAGAGGTTGAGGTGCGCCCAGGCGGAGAGGTAGAAATTCGGCACCCCGGCGGTTCTCTGGCCGGAGTTGAGCATGGCGCAAACCTGCAACATTTTCTCCGCGTAATCCAGCCGCGCCATTTTAGTCTCCATGTTTGACGTGTTGATTGCCTCTTCTAGGGCTTCGATTCCCCAGTCCAAATTCGCTAGCACTGCTTGATCCGAGTAACGAACTTCAGCGTCCTTATCAGAGCTCCCATCTTCCGCTGCTAATCTCTCCGCGCATTGCTCCTTGTGTTGAGCTCTCTGTTCTTTGTCAATTAACCTGTCCTGAATGAAACTTCCAACTGTTGACACCAACGACCTCACTATGTCTTCCTGCTCCATCTCAAACCTATAATTTCCACTCATTTTCCTCAAACTGACTCTCAATAACTTCACTCTCACAGAAGAATCACCCTCCTCCTATAATCTGGAACACGAAATTCAAAGATCACAAGAACATACACGGAAGAAGTATCGATGTAGGCCTGTTCAGACCATATTTCTGTCTTCCTCAATTGTTTAATCTTCAGGTGAAGAGGAAACAGTCAAACAATCATCAGCGGTTTGTCCATTCCCCGGAGAAACCAATTTTCTTAAAGAAAATGCACAGGAAAAGACAGAAAGCCAGCTTTGAATAGGATCTTCACTTCAGGCCGGCAATGGAGGTAACTGTATAATCATCATTATGAAATTTCATGTTATTTTAAAAATGACAAAATTAAATTGCGGACGAATAATAACACTAACCTACGACACAAAATTATCCTGTTAAAGATTAAATTTAACATCATATTATACCTTCAAATTCAACAGATATAATTGAACGAGTTTGAGAAAACAATTTAAACAGTATAATAGAACTGTTATTTAAACCATTCTAATTTTACCATCACGATATTACAGTAATCATCGGTAAAGTCAAAGCTATCATAGACAGAAAGGAATCCTTTGTTTTGTTGCATAATAAGTTGAATGGTATCTGCTTTCCCTTGCATATTGCATTATTTTATCAGTAAACTATATAGATTATAAGCTTACCTTTTCAAATTGTATGTATTTATATTAATCCTTTCACTTTCAAAAGAGCCACTGGCTTCGGTGACGTCATCAGGGCTGTTTTGTTATGAGATGTTTTTTGGAGTAAACGAATTTAATATTTATTATTGGTGCTATCGGAAGATCGGCATGGCGGAAAAATGATACCTGAACAGAGTTACTCGATATCAAGAAAAAATTTAAAATTTAAAATTATCTATGATAAAATTGGTTGTTCATCCAATATCGTCAATAATAGATAAAATAATCTAAAAAAGTTATCATGATTGTCAATAATATAGAGGATTACCTAAAAAAAAAAGTTATCAAGCAGTGATATGATTTTACCTCGCGTTTCACAAAAAGTTTTGGGGTGATAGAGGCTATTGATTGTGCCTAATATTGATGAATTTGTTTGGTCAAATTATTTTGTGGATCAGGATCAACCTTGCAAAGTGGACCTAAATTCAAAATAAGTAATTTACATATTGAATATTCACATTTTACATACTAAATGTTCATAATTTCAGTGTAAATATTTAATATGTAAATTATATATTTTAAACTCGACTCCACCTTGTAAGGTGGACCCAAGTCCATAATAGAACTGTCCATCTGTTTGTTATCAAGGCTTGGCATGTGATGTTTAGTGGCTTGAATTCAAAACGGGCTCAAATCGGCCCAACGTTAATACACACGCAAATTATGTCCTGGAAACGTGTTCATCATGAATGGTGAACACAAGTCCAAACGACGTCGTTTTTATGCAAAAAAAAAAAAAAAAAAAACAAAACAAAAAACTCAGATGTGGAGTTAACGGCGCGCGTTTGATCAAATTATGAATTTTCTGTTATGAGATTATGAATGTAATGTAAATTCATAATCTCATAACAGAAAATTCATAATCGCATAAAAGTAAAATATTTATTAAATTATGAATTTTCTGTTATGAGATTATGAATGTAATGTAGATTCATAATCTCATAATAGAAAATTCATAATCTCATAACTGAAAGTTCATAATCTTATAACAGAAAATTCATAATCTCATGGTTCCAAAGTGAATGTGTAGGCATGGTTCCAAAGTGAATGTGCAAGCATGGATTCATAATTTATGAATGTCCGTGATTTCGGACGGGAATGTGTAGGCATGGTTCCAAAGTGAATGTGCAGGCATGAATTCATAATTTATGAATATCTGAAATCATTGCTCACCTCAAATTAAAGTGAAACCGCGAAATGTGAAAATGAAGAAGAAAAGTCACGCAATTAATTAAGAAAAAATAAAAAAGAAGAAGAAGATAACGGTGTACTAACACCGTTGGAACCGTGTTCACCATGAATGGTGAACACGGTTCCATGACATAACGATTGTAATACACAAGACTCGCTGTAAATATAATAAATTATGGTCTACATTATAAAATAAATTACTAATATGGATATTTATTTTAATATTTTATGCTAAATTAATCTTAAACTTTTAGAACTCATGTCCAACAGTGTTGGAGGAGGTACTGAATTTCATTTTTACTATATTGATTATATATTGATACAAATTCATTTGTAGTGTTATGTGATACATAAAAATAAGCATGTAGCAATCAATATATTATAAATGAGCATGTATCATTGGTTCACTTTACAATATGGACTATGATATAATTTGTCACTTACACACTAATATATAATTGATATAATATGAATTAACGTAACTTACTACTAAATTATATTTTGAATCACGTTAATACGTTATTACTTATTATGTGATAGTTTTAATTTCAATATCAAATTAAAGCAAGGCAATGAGTTAATACCATCGATTCATTGAAAAGCGGCAAAGCTTCAAGTTAATTATAATCTCTCTTCTTATTTTTTTATTTAAGTGATTGGCGATTCTTTTATTTATCACTGGATATTGGAAAATGATTTTTTTTAACCAAAAAAAAAAAAAAAGAAGAGAGGAAGAGTTATTATTGATTATTATCTCCTTAATTAACCACCTAAACCAAAACCATGAGGTAGTGAGAGTAATAGGCAAAGATGGTTATTGCCTCGTCTTTGAAAAGTCAATTGGTTCACTGTGCATATGTTAAGCTTGATGTCTAAGTTCATTGATCCACTCAATTGCCTGTGCCACGTGCAATTCATCTGCTGAGATAGGCAATTATCCACCTACGTTTTCCTTTTAAAAGTTTTTTTTTTTTGAAAGATTTTCCTTTTTAAAGTTATTCAGTTATATATCAAGAGTTCAAGACTTTCAATTATATTCTTTGAGCAATTGATTATTCAGAGTCAACTTAGATCTGCAAAGGATAATCACACCTGATTTTACTGTTCCCATAATCGATTTTTTTTTTTCATCCCTGATTTTACTGTTCCCATAATCGATTTTTTTTTTTTTTTTTGTGACAAGGAGAGAGAAAATGAGGGATAGGAAATTAGGAAGAAAAAAAAATAGTCTGTTACAGTATTAGAGCAAGTTCATTAGTGTATTTTGTGTGTTTCTTTCTCTAAAATTTCTAATCAGTGTGGCCTATAACAAAAAAAAAAAACTTAATTTACATGGATAAAAATCCTCCCGGCAGTTTATTCTCTAGTTCAATACACATAATTTGACTTCATAATATACAGAATTCATGTTCATCATGTTTATGTGTATATGTATTATACTATTATGAACATAAATTTTATACATTATGAAAAATTGAATTAAAAATAACTTCAGTTAAGTCATGTTAACCAAACCAGATATATAAAATGATATGAGAAAACTAATATTAAACTTAATATTATGAAAATTTAATTATAAATAAGAGTTAATTCTATTTTTGGTTCTAGACTTATAAATGGCAATTCACTTTAATCTTTTTTCTTTCAAAATATTTTATTTCGGTTCTAGTATTATTATGGCATGACAATTTTTTATCTTTCACTAACAAAATAATTAAAATATCGTTAAATACAAGGACTACAAATGAATTGTCACTTATAATTTCTTCTTTTTATTTTTTTGTTGAAAAGAATATGAAATTAACTCTTATGAATAATTTCAATCAAGCATTATTAATAAAACTAATTAACTAAATCATTTTGTTGGGGCTATTTTGGGAAATTTTGACTTTTAATGAAGCAGTGGCAAACTAGCAATAATGTGTTATGTCAGAGCCTAAAATTTTGCAAAAAGTCAAACATATATTACGGAGGGACCGCAGGATATAATGATTTTTTATTTTTTATTTTACAAAAGTTATGAAACAGACGAAGCAGTAAACCAAAAAGAAAACAGGACAATCTAATGAGTGAGCCATTGAGGTATAGAAAAAAAGGGGAAAATACCAGCTAGATGGTCTCTTATTTTATACTTTCAACTTTTATTCTCTTCTATATGTTTTTTTATGTAGACACTTTTATGTAAATTCATGATGGAAATAATCATTAGGTGAAATTTTGGAAGAATGACTAGGGATCGAGTCTCACCAGCGGCAGTGTGGGAGCAACCTCTCAAAGTGAGGGGGGCTCCTTGTGCGCAGTGAGCACCGGTCTAGCCTCTGTGATTAATGTTCAGTTGAGTCACCATGATTTACAACCTCCCACCGCTCTGTCGAGCCGGGGTGTGGGGGGCCCTTAGGGTTGGGGTTCAGCCTTTTGGAAGAATGATGGAAATAATCAATCATTGTTTGTAATATCAGGGAGTAGAAGTAAGGAAGTATGCATAGTAAAGTTCTAGAAAAAAAGTATTGTAAAAAAAAAAAGAAGAAGACAATAGATATACATGTAAGAGCATCCACATTAGTTGGGAAGAATATGGGGATAATGTAAAGGTGATTAGGAGAGAGAATGTGGGGAAAGGAGGAAACAAAATAAAAAAACCAAAATAAAATAAAAAAAAACGAACTGTCAGGCGCGCATGACGCGCCCGTGTGGGCGGGTTTCGCGCACAGCAGCCACTTTTTCTTTTCTTTCTTTTTCTTCTTTTTCTGCCATTCTCCCCATATTTGCAGGATGATTATTTCTACAAATAACTCCACTCCACATTGGTTATTATCCCCATTGAGAAGAATTAATTCTGAAATCTCCCCATAATATGCACAAGTGTGGATGCTCTAAGAGAAAATGATATATAAATTTTTTGAGTAAAAATTTCGTCATATGTCATAATTAATGTTATGTGTTTAAGAAAGAGAGTAATAAAAATTATAATTCATTTCTTAAAAATAAATTAGAATATGTCACGTAAGTTGTGAGTAAAAAATGAAATAGAAACTAAAAGTATATGTAGTATTACTTACGGGTAAATGAGGATAGGTGTATAATATGATAAAATCAAACATGAGACTAAATTTGATTCTTTAAAACTAAGGTTTGAATTCAATTCAATTGTAATTTTTGAGTTTAAAATCCACCTATTCAAACTTGAATTATTATAACTTAGTTGACTTAAATAGGTTGCAACATAATATTAGCTCAAATTGGAAAACGAGCTGATATACTATCTCAGTGGATACACTAAGCTCAATGCTAGATTAGCAGCTAGTAATCATTTGACTCAGCTTAATGAACATATAGATTATGACTTCTACTTAGTGCTATTTGCACAAGACTCACGCACCTTAATTACTGTATAATCACATGGAAAATATTCATCGCAGTGGAACTTAATTATATATATATATATATATATATATATATATATATATATATATATATATATATATATATATATGTGTGTGTGTGTGTGTGTGTGTGTGTGTGTGTGTGTGTATTTCCAATCAATAACAGGTATAACTTAATAGTGGAATAATTTAAATATTTAAATTTAAAGTATGATTGTTATCCTTCGGAAATTGACGTTCTTAACTGCCGTAACTTCTATATAACTTATCCTAACATTCAGTATTTTATCCATAAATACTTGGAGAAGCATCTCAAATAAAAGACGAAATACTTTCACAACTACACAGTTCATAAGGAAAACTCTTAAAAAATCAACTACAAAAATTTATTCGTCTACTTGTATCTCATAAGTTTAATCTTTAACCTTATTGTTTGTATGAGATATAGGAAAATGTTCACACACTTGAAGATCTCATTCCTCATCTATTTTCTCAAACATCATTCCTAACACAATTTACCACACTCATATAATTTGTAATTACTCACAAAAATAAAATTTACTTAATGCATATTTTTAAATTATAATTATAAGTTTCTCTCATCAAAAAGGAAAAAAAAAAAAGACATATATATATATATATATATATATATATATATATATATCTACAACTTTAATAAAAGCGAATATTGTTAGACCCTTAACCGGAACAAAAAAAATGTCGGTACACCACATGCTCAACAAAATTGTACTTTGCACTTTCCTAATTGTACAATGCCAACTTAAATTCCTAATATAACCTCATTCTTCTAAATTATACCAAACTTTCACGGTTAAACTTAACAATTCTGTCAAAAGAAATTTAGCGAATTAGAATACAAATCTTAATAGATTCCTAATTTCGAATTAGAATATTGATCTCTTAATTAATATGATTTCCTTGTTTAATCATAATTTTCTTACCTAATATTCTTTATTTTACATAATTATTTCGTAATAAAATTAATCAATACACAAATAGAAATTTATTTCTATATTACGATACTTTCTTATTTACTAATTATGTCATCTTCACTATATCAAATATATTTACTTGTCATGTCATTATTACCATCTTTATACAATTGTAATTTATAATTAGAATATAGAATACAAATCTTAATAGATTCCTAATTTCAAATTAGAATATTGATGACTTAATTAATAGGATTCTATAATACAAATCTTTATAGATTCCTAACTACACCCTTAATCTACCTAGAACAACACTATATTAACTCTTGGTATTCAACAAACACAAAACCTAACTTCTTTTGCAACACACAGTATTCAAGAGACTTTCTACAGGTATGAATATAAATCTCCTATCATTACTAGATTCCTAACTACACCCTTAATCTACCTAGAACAACACTATATTAACTCTTGGTATTCAAAAAACACAAAACCTAACTTCTTTTGCAACACACAGTATTCAAGAGACATTCTACAGGTATGAATATAAATCTCCTATCATTACTACATAATTAATTAATATAGTACTTCTTGTTACTCATATTATTTCAATCCCATGATTTTTCAATTTATGTTATGGTTCTCGATCATTATATTATTTCTTTACATTCTTTATGCACATATTTTCAATGACGGAAGAATATTAGTCATGTCAAATGCACTAAACTTAATTGATATTGACAATACAAATCTTTATAGATTCCTAACTACACCCTTAATCTACCTAAAACAACACTATATTAACTCTTGGTATTCAACAAACACAAAACCTAACTTCTTTTGCAACGCACAGTATTCAAGAGACATTCTACAGGTATGAAAATAAATCTCCTATCATTACTACATAATTAATTAATATAATAATTCTTGTTACTCCTTATATTATTTCAATCCCATGATTTTTCAATTTATGTTATGGTTCCTATTATATTATTTCTTTACATTCTTTATGCGCATATTTTCAATGGCGGAAGAATATTAGTCATGGCAAATGCACTAAACTTAATTGATATTGACATACAAACTGAGATAAAATTGTAAAGTTTGTGTCATTAAGAAAAACGAACCAAAGAATGCTATTAAATCGCCTGAGAAAAAATATATGCTCATCATCCTCGAGGATGAAACTGTAAGTACATAATACAAAATTTCTCCATTTCATCATCATTATTATTATTATTATTATTATTATTATTATTATTATTATTATTATTATTATTAGTCATTTATTAATTTATATTTATTAGACATGTATAGTTCTTTATTTACACTCAAATCAAGGTGCTTTCATTCACCACCAACATCATTGTAAATGTTATATCTATATACAGGGAACTCGGGTTCAATCAATAGTGTTTGATAATGACATTGAAATTTATGATAGCACTTTAAAGACCAACAAGAGGTACATAATTTCAAATGTCATTGTCAAACCTGCCCAGACGAACTATAGAGTACTTGACAATAAATACAAGTATACATGAATTTTAAATGCTCGGAGTATTTCAATTTTTTTTTATCTTTTATTACAATATATAATCACAAAGACTATTTCTATATCTTTTATTAATTTCGCATTTCTCTCTCTCTCATCATTATATTATGTGAATACTTTAACCAATTAAGAAACACTAATTTATAAATACACATTGGGCATTGGTCTAATCGCGCAAAGCGCGTGTCATAACTAGTATATATATATATATATATATAGTGTAGCAAGACCAAAAAAAAGTGTGATCATTTTGGTCAAACACATTTAACATTATTGCTTCGTCACTTGAATCCTAATTATGCCAAGTATTGAATAATGAATATCATAAACAACCCTCTCTTCTACAGTCTACATCCATGTCGGTCTTCATCCCTCCGCACGTATAAAAAATATATCAGTTTTTTTTTTTTTAATTTATTTTTTTCTATGCTTCTCGTGACATTTTGTTGAACCAAAAAATGCTTATTAAAATATAGCACACACTTACGTGTATGTACATAATAAAGATTATTACATATACGGATTTTATACTCAAATAATAAATTGTATGTACATATAAGATAAAAATTTGAGTGTTAATATGGAGATTTACACATAATATGATATGTTTCTTTTACCAAATATTGGTCCTTTGACCTAAAAAATTGTTAAATTATTATAATTTATCTGATTAAAATGTAAATTTTATATTTTTAACAAAACGGCATTACGGCTAATGACTAACCTAAGCCCATATTAAAATAGGAAATTGTTCCAGCGGGCATGACTGACTTTTACACACCTCTTCAGCTTTGGCTCCGCGCTCGCTTACATTTCTGACAAAGACTTGTGTTTCCAGTTTTTGATCAGTCAAATACTCCATCCCTGGAAAGAGCTAAACAAAACAAAAAGAAGAAGAAGAAGAAAAGGGGAAATCCAAAGCGAACAGCATCATAATAAAGAAAGAAAAGAAGCGAAAACTGGGTCAAGTCTGTAGATGGTGTCTGGGCACTTGGCAATCTGAGCTCAATTCAAACAGATTTCGCCGTTTTCGTCATCGGGTACCGAGGTATCACCTTCCTACTAAGACCCATTCTTCGTAATCTTCAGATTCTCGCACCCTTTCCCGCGAATCAATCACTTCACATTCTTCGTCAAGCGTGTTCTAGGCATGTTTTCGTTCTTCTTTCTCGAGTTGTGGTTAAATTTTCAGTTTATAATCCCAAAATATCTCTCGAAGCTTGCTTCTTTATGCGTGGAAATTCAGAAGATCAAGCTTTTTTTTTTTTCACTTGGATGTAGCTGGGTAGTGCTAAATCGAGCCTTGATTTTTGTGTTCTTTTGATTTGTTTCCGTTGATAGGTGAAAAGTTGGAGTCGATTTTACTCTTTTTGTATCTCTTTTTCTCCCGATTTGATTGGGGAGAAACATGGGAGCAGTATGCGCCGGAGGGACAGTGAGGGATAGGTCGGAGGTCCTTAAAGAGAGGAGCTCAGGGAGCTCCAAAAAGCTCAAATCAATGAAGAGTTTCCTGAACGAGGATATTAATGCCGATTCTAATGAATATCCAGATATGGGTACAATGGGGAGGACCCATAACCATAATCTATATGATTCTGGTGAATTGCACTTATCCATCTCAAGAGAGTTGAAGCCGGCCACGCCAGCTAGGACAGGAACTAATAAGGTGTGGATTTAGATATATGATCTTTATATCTTGAGTGTGGGTGGTTCTTGTTAGTAGTAGATCATTCAATGCAATGGTCATCTATGAATTGTTGAATGTTATTGTTGACATGTGTAAACTAAAAACATGATTGTTTTGACTACTATTTGTTGGGATTGATCACTTGAAATTGAATGAGCTCAATCTTAAATAGTTAGATAAGTCTTGGTCTTGGGCTCTTCGCGATTTGCTTTGCAATATTTATCATTTGTAAAGTGAAAGGTTCCTTAGATAATTTTGGATTTGGGTATAAATAGAGGAAGGAATTAAAAGCAAATAACACCTAATATTTGAAAATGTGGTATTTTTAAGACTACCCAAGATTGCATGACAACAATATGTGGTGAATGTGCTTGTGTTCTTTCGTGTTTTGAAGCCTTCACAGGCTTAGTGAACTTCTTTCTTGTTCCCTTTTTCTGTCTGAATATTGTATATGAGTAACCTAATTTCCTCGTGACAGGGACCTCAAGTTAGCTCTTTTCTCGGAAAGGCTAGCATAGTGGGCCTCGAGAAGGCAGTGGAGGTTCTAGATACATTAGGCAGCAGCATGACAAATTTGAACAACAGCGGGTTTATTTCTGGCGCGGGATCAAGAGGGAACAGAATATCTATTCTGGCATTTGAGGTTGCAAATACAATCACTAAAGGTGCAAATCTATTGCAATCTCTATCTGAAGAAAGTGTCCAGTATTTGAAAGAGGAAATTCTACCTTCAAAAGGTGTACAAGAGTTGGTCTCTACAGATATGAATGAGCTTCTCGCTATAGCTGCTGCTGACAAAAGGTGAGCATCTTTGTTTAATACTGCAAGGTCCCCTTTTTCTTCCAAAAAGATATAAGCTTGAAAAGAGATTTTCAATGCATGAAAACCATATTGAGGTAAAATAAAGCCTTCAGGCTTTGAACTTACAAAGTCTGCTTGAGCATTACCAGCATTATCTAATTGTAATATCTGTAAGCAAAGATTGAAAAGAGGTTTTCAATAAATGAAGACCATATAGAGGTTAAAAACCTTCAGGCTTTGGACTTACAAAGTCCACTTGAGCATTACCAAATTGTAATATTTCTATATTTTTATAGGGAGGAATTTGAAGTTTTCTCTCGTGAAGTTGTGAGGTTTGGAAATCTGTGTAAAGATCCACAGTGGCACAACCTTGATCGTTTTTTTGCAAAGTAAGTGACACTTTATATCATGAATACCCTAGGCTTATTAGTCATTTAATGGGGATATTCTATTTTGAAACGTTTGATGGTGGATGGGGGTTTTGGGGTTCAAACCTAAGTCGACTGTCTTGAAGAAGGCATAACTTACCACCAAGCTACACCCCAAACCCCATTTAGTGTGGATATACAGTAAATGTTACTTCCTGAAAACATGTGCCAGGTTGGGCTCTGAACCTCTAAGTCATAAACAGCTCAAGGAGGAGGCTGATAGGACTATGCAAGAACTTTCCACTCTTGCTCAGCATACTTCTGTAAGATTCTTTTTCCGGGGTGCTTTGCATAGTTTTATAAAATTTTCCCATTTTTTAAGTTGTAACCAATTTCTTCATTTGCTCTGTAATGTTACTCTTTGACTCTCTCTCTCTCTCTCTCTCTCTATATATATATATATATATATATATATATATATATATATATATATATACACACACACACACACATATACATACATTTATGTCTGAGTGCTTGTTTCATATGCTGCTATGAACATTAGGTACGGTATTATGTGGATCAGTATATTACACTTGTACAGTGATATGATGATTTTTGTAGGAAATATAGCCAATTTGCTTATTTCTAGCAATATAGTAGAGAAACATGTGCTTGATGGATAGCCCCCTTCTTTTGCACGGGAGACACTTACCCGTACTGGAACTTAATTCTATATATATATATATATATATATATATATATATATATATATATATATATATATATATATATATATATATATTGGGTCTTTGTTAGAGCTTTTGCATTCATACTTGTGTGATGGTGATGCTATGTGTGCTATTAAGTTCTACTAAGTATGCACAAGCTTGCACGGGTGCTCCATTGATAATCTCTCTAGTCAAGGACTAAAATCTTAAAATCATGTGAAATGAGATCAATTTAAATATACTTAGCTATAATGAGATATGATGTATGTGCAGGAATTGTATCATGAGTTGCATGCTGTGGACCGGTTTGAACAAGATTACCAGAGGAAAATTGAGGAACTAGAATCTTTAAATCTACCTCGAAAAGGTTCATTATATTCATCACTAAATAATTGAGTTCATAACTACTGTATGGTAGATTATCTTTACTCAATTGGCCATACTTTTCCTTCTTGTAGGAGAGAGTCTAATGATGTTGCACAGTGAGCTAAAACATCAAAGAAAGCTTGTGAGGGGATTGAAAAAGAAATCTCTTTGGTCTAAAAGTTTGGAGGAGGTAATCCGACAAAGATTCTTTTTAATCTTAAAATATTTTCGAGGATGAATGCTTCAATTATATTTACTTGTTTCTCAATCTTATATCTGAAATCCAAATTAGACTTCTTCCTTGACATAGGTGATTGTAGAAAAAACTCAACCGGGTGTAAATTTACTATCATGATTCTTAATTGTGCGTTTGTTGATGTTATATTTTCTAATTGAAGGTTGTGGAGAAGCTTGTTGATATTGTAACTTTCATTCATCAAGAGATCTTGGAAGCATTTGGAGATGATGGTATACTATTGCCCTGTTTCTTGTTCCATTCACCGAGGCTGTAGGATGTTATTATAGATTTCATGCCTTAACAACTTCCACTATACTTTGCATTTTAATACAGAGTTCTACTACATGTACTCTCAAATCTTACTCCCTGATGTGGCGGGCTCTGATAAGCTATTTTTTTTCATGTGGGTCCCAATACAAGTGTCTACATCAGGATTTTGTGTCTGGGAGTAAAAGTTGGGAGTACACATAGTATTTTCCTTTAATATATTGAAGCCTTTTTACTAAAAACCATGCTGATCTTATGTTGAAACTGTTTATTTTACAAGTATTAAAGTACGTAGATAGGGAGCCTACAACAAAACCAGAAAGATTAGGCGTTGCTGGCCTTGCTTTACACTATGCTAACCTAATCACTCAAATAGATAACATTGTAAGTTTGAAAATTTTAATTTGTTGATTTGGTCCTACAGAGTTCCGTTTAGTATTTTTTTAGTTAATAATGTTTGTTAATGGGATTCAATGTAATGTTAGACCTCGCGCCCCACTTCTCTTCCCCCGAACACAAGGGATGCACTGTATAATGGGTTGCCACCTGCTGTAAAGATGGCGCTTCGTTCTCGGTTACAGGCACTTGATACAAAAGAGGAAGAGGTTTGTTCTTTAGACTTGTTTTCTTGGTATCTACCATTTTTATCGATTTTTCTCTTTTTATCTTCTGCCTTCTCCTACCGACTGGTAAAGGGAGGCTGTTTCTTAAATGTTATAAATGTTTAACGTAAATGCCCTATGATGGAGTTTTGCAGCTAACGATTCCTCAAATCAAGGCTGAAATGGAGAAGAATCTCCACTGGCTTGTTCCACTAGCAGCCGATACGTCAAAGTAAGTCGTTAACTATCTTTCTCAGACAAGCAATAAAACTTAAATTTCTCTTTTTTACCGGATATATAAATGCATTTGTTATTGATTCTTTCAATTCATTTGGCTGGCTGCTGGTGCAGAGCGCATCAAGGTTTCGGATGGGTTGGAGAATGGGCCAACACCGGGTATTCTTCCAGTTTCCGTGTTATATCAAGTTTTGCTGTTTGTGCTTGTTGTGAGCATATAACCATTAATGTGCAATCCAATTATCAGCTTAGGTTTTTAGTTGAGATGAAGCACATGCTTCAATTGTGCTCTATTCTTCTTAGCGAAACCCAACAATGCTCATTCTTGTATGCAGAAGCGATTTCGGAAAGAAGGCAACGATGCAGAATAACCTCATCCGCCTGCAGACGCTTTACCACGCAGACAAAAAGAAAATGGACTCCTTCATCCTCGAGCTCGTGGAATGGCTTCACCGCCTCATCAGCCTCGTAAGATACAAAGGCCCGAGGATTCTCCCGGGAAGATCGCCCACCGGCAAAGGGCTCACTCTGAATACAGAGATTCTGAACAAAAACCCGAAAAAGAACGAGGTCCAGCTTTCGTTAGAAGACAAGACTTTGTTGGATGAAGTGATGAAAAGGAGGAAGCTTGTCCCTGGAATAAGCAAAAGCCAAGAATTTGTGATATCCAAGAAGGGGAGACAGGTTTGGGCACTAAGTAGGAGCACTGGCAGCTCTCCTTGTACAGAGGTGGAACGACCAAAGCCTAATGTCTTGGACATCCTAGACGGCTTAGGTACAAAGTTTTGAGCCCCTAGATACATTTCACCAAAACTAAGTATTCATTTTGCATAAATTCCCATTCCCAATCCCATTTTCTCTTCAAATTAAAGTCCCCTCCCTGTATATATAGCCCTTATGCTGAAGGTATATGGCTATTCCTATTTCCTAGTGTGCTTTAAATTTTGAAGTATGTTTTAGGAAAAATCTTGTAGCTTTACTCCTACATATCATCTATTGCTCCATCTAGTGTGAGATGAAATCATATTTTTGTACCCCGAGTTACCATTCCTATCTTATAACAGGAGAACACCGAAACTTAACTAGATTAGCCAAACAATATCTTAGTATTTAGAGAAAAGGGTCAAATAGGACAATTAGGTCACTAAATATTTTAAAATTGAAATTAAACCCATATTTTGGTGCAATGAAGCTGAAAAACTGGTCTGACCTCTGCTATCACATTCACTAGGGTTCTAGCAATCCTCACAAAAAAAAAAAAAAAAAGAACCAATCACCGGTCACGGAGAAGGAAGGTGACCTTGGTTGCTTTCTCACCTCGAAAGGTGACCTGTGAAAAACAAATTGTTACAAAGTCTATTTTGGTGCAATTAAACTCGTTCCGGCAATCCTCCAGTGACACAGAGGCAAATTCCAAATAAATAAATAAATAAAATCACCAGGAGGAGGAAACAAGACACTTCTCACCCTGGAAAGTGACCGGTGAAAAATAAATTGTTACAAAGTCAATTTTGGCGAAATATCATTGTCTAGAGATAAAATATAGAAAAACGAATTCTTCTATGAAACAAATCTAACTACTTAGTATCAATATAACTAGTAAAGTAATTGATACTATTGAGTATGACTATCTAAATCTAAAAATGTAATGAAGCTAGCTAGCTAGCTAACACGAACTAACTAACTAAATCTATAACTGAGCAGCTTTGCCGCATTTGATGACATTTGCAGGAATGGGAGCTTCATCCCTTGGAGAAATCTTGGAAGGATCATCCTCCGGTCCCTTCACCTTAATATACAGCTCTTGTCCAAGGTACCTTTGATCTGCATTCCCGGACCTCAGGTTCCACATTCCTTCATTATCCATCGCCACATATACTGCCGTCCACGAATATGGATATACCTGTACTGTTGATCGATAAACCGCATCCTTCAGATTGTATGATCGCATATCCAGCGCGCTCCAGATCCCAGGCCCCATTCTGCAAATCCAATCAATCAATCAATGTTTCAATCAATCAATCAAAATGTTTCAATGGAGGGAGTGATTTTACCCAACAACGAAGAAGTTGTAGCCATCCAAATGCCATGTCTGTACAGAACGGAGAGGGTTGTGGAAAACTATCTGCGTGAAATCATGGAGATTGGTTTGGATAACCGAGACGCCAGGACGAGCTAGGAGGAGTCTGTAAGTAAAATGGGGCATCTCAGGGATAGTGCCCAGCTCATAAACGCCGCTTATGTTGAAGTGATCCGCAAGCTTCAATGGCGTGTCCGGGTACACAAACGAAACGCCATTAATGGCGTATCGAGGCTTGCCGTACACCCTGGCCATTTTACCCTCCAGTACAATCGTCCTGGTCACGTTAATCCGTCCGTAATGGAATGAGCCTTGGGGATTCGGCCGGGCTGCTCCCACCGCCACATCGACCCTGTCAAGGTTAAAGCAGCGTCAAGTCATGCAGATAAGGTGTTCGATAAAATGATTAACTTAATTTGCAGGTTGATGACTCCACTCCAGTGTACTGTACCTTATATTCTTAATCTGTACCCAGGAAGCCAGGAGATCAAACTTCAATGGTGATTTAGAGAGCGGAGTCCCCGGATTTCCCCGGAACTGATTGTAGCGTACAAAGCCAATTCCAGAAGCTTGCATGAGGGAGAAACGAGGAGATGCCGACATGTAATAGGATGCGCCATTTTTGTGCTCTAATGCTTTAACCATCACTGAGTAAGACTGGCCGACATGGATGTCCAGATTATCGAAGTCGTGTTTTACAGTATAGGATCCTTCTGTCTCCACCAGCGTCATATTGTGGCCCTGAATCCTGAAATTCAGACTTGTTTTTATCCCCACATTCGAGATCCTCAGCATATATGTTTTCCCTGCAGATTTCAACAAAACCAAACACAATAAAGTGATCAGAAAGCTAGGATTTTCGTTCATGTGGACAATAATTTCAACTTTTACCTGGCTGGAAATCCAGGCTTGCTTGTTCAGGTCCATGGCCATTGATGAGGATTCCATGGGGAAATTTCAGCATGCCGGTGCGATCCAGGCTTTCTCTCAACACCTTCAATCACAAAACCATATAATCAAAACCTCGTAAAGATTAATTAATATGATTATGTATCTAGTGATAATAAAGATGTTTAAATTACCTGAATATCTTCGGTGTACCAATCACTGATCAAAATGTCTAAATCGTAATCAGGGCAAGGAAACGGCGGATGAACAACTGGAGTGTTGTAGATTCGGATGGGACCATACCCACCGGCCGCCTTGTGAAGGTGGAGAGACGGGAAATAGAAGTAACTTCCGATCTGATCTTTCAGTTGAAAGCTGTAAGTCCAGTTCTTCCCCGGCGGTATAGGACAATTGGTTCCTTGTACTCCATCTTGCCACGAACTTCCCCTTAATTGCACCCCATTCCTACAATAATCCAAGAAAATCAATCCCAAAAAAAAAAAAAAAAACAGTTTTAATTTCTTCGTATGTTAATCTGCAAACTGGTCGTACCATGACATTAAAAATGGTTCGTCCAGGTTGTTGTGAATGTTGACGTTAAGTACATCATTGGTTGAACCATTCAGGAGGGGTCCTGGAAACTGATCATTAATCACAATCACCTGTTTTTCATCAAAAGATAAAACGAGTTAATAGATATGATATTTTAAGGTACTGATCAACATTATAGACAACATTATTATAATATAACATTAGCAATGATCACAAACCTTCTTCTCAACTCCGAGGATTGAACGAGTGGAGAAGGAAACAGTCCAATCATAGAAACGTTCCTCAGAGCTTACACAAACAAACAACGATAGGACTATGAGACTGCAAACAAGTGGTAATGCCACTGTTCCATTCACCGTCTTCATTGTTGTTTGTCTTTCAGACTTACAGTATATTAGTTCTTCCAATCGTAATGATACTTTTAGCTTAATATTGATAACTATATATATAAAACAAAACATCCTTTGAGAATGAAGGATAATGTATTTTACTGAAATTCTAACTCTTACGTAGACGTCTCCTAATTAATCACGAACATTTTTACCCTAATCCAAACATAATCCACGGTTATTTTAAACTCTGACGTTAGGAAATCCTATCATCAGGATTTAGGCATTTTTAAAAAGTATTAGTTATTTAGTTTTAAATTTTTATATTGTATTATTTTTAATATATTATTACTCTGTATTTACAATAGTAATTAAATAATAATATTTTTTTTGTAAGTCCACGTTCATATTCATCTGGATGCTTATTTGATTGTTTTATGACGGTATCTCGTTTGGCTCATGTAGTCATGTAAAGAAGAGATTCAAAGAAATTTGTTATAAAGAATTTTTTTTTCTTGACATAAAAGTTTTTTTTATTATTTTTTAAATAAAAGTAAAAAGTTTGTCATACAATCTATTTATTACAGTTACAATATCAGCTGATCGATGAATGTTTTTAATATAATTAATGAATATGTCACAATATATATAATAGAGTTAATTCCAGCAATGGTCCTCCGACTATGTTGATTTTTCACAATTGGTCCCCGACTTTTAATTTGGACAATTTAGACACTTGACTTTTAAAATCTTTCCGATGTTGGTCCTTCCGTCACTTTGAGGTTAAGTGGGTGTTAGTTTGAGGGGTAAGGTAGTCATTCCACAATTGTTATTTTTAAAAAAAGTAATTTTATTCTTTGTTTTTTCTTCTTCTTCGGCATCATCATCACCGGGATCAGTTCGCTGCCATTCTTTCCCTGCCATTTTTTTCTTTAGTTCTTGAATCTTATTCTGGCTGCTCGATATGGGTTTGAAGGGATTTGTTGAGGGAGGGATTGCTTCCATTGTTGGCGGGTGAGAATGCCTTTGTAAAGAGCCATGTGGCCCTCTGCTTTGATCGTCCTCATGGCACAGTCTAGGGCATCGGCGCCATTCCCAGCTCCACCTTCATGTTCATGGAACAGATTAGTGAAGATGATGAAAGTGACGATGATGAATTCTTCAAGCCAAAAGGGGAAGGAAAGAAGGCATGTGTTGAAATGAAACTAGTATTGCTCATTCAATTTATTATTTACCAATAAGCCAATTACATTTTTTCTTTTCTGGGGCAGGTAGTCACTTTTTCTCCCTTGTTTTATTGCCTTGCTAATTACTGCCTGTTTTCTAATTTATTCAGAAAGGAAAAGATGTCTCATATGATAATAATCTGGATGTTGGGCCTGCTCTAAATTCCTCAGCCATGTAAGTGAAAAAAAAAAAAACTGGAAAGATTAAAATTTGATTGAGGGCATTGCGGTGGGTGTGAGGATTGTGCAACAGGAAGGCTATTTCCGACATGTCTACAACCGTCCTCCACCAGACGCTCTATTCGATCGGGCTGTACACACGCTCTATTTAGGGCTGGGCTTATCGTCGGTGGGATCGGAGCTGCCGTGGGGAACCCCGCAGACGTGCCGGTGGCATCGAATCCGGTAGACGTGCTGAAGACGAGGATGATGAACATGAAGGTGGAGCTGGGAATGGCGTCGCCATACGCCGGCGCCCTGGACTGTGCCATGAGGACGATCAAAGCAGAGGGCCACATGACTCTTTACAAGGGCATTCTCACCCGCCAACAATGGAAGCAATCCCTCCCTCAACAAATCCCTTCAAACCCATATCGAGCAGCCAGAATAAGATTCAAGAACTGAAGAAAAAAATGGCAGGGAAAGAATGGCATTGAACTGATCCCGGTGATGATGATGCCGAAGAAGAAGAAAAAAAAAAAGCAAAGAATAAAGTTATTTTTTAAAAAATAATAAATGTGGAATGACTACCTTACCCCTCAAACTAACACCCACTTAACCTTCAACTGACGGAAGGACTAATATTGGAAAGATTTTAAAAGTCAAGTGTCTAAATTGTCCAAATTAAAAGTCAGGGGCCAATTGTGGAAAATCAATATAGTCGGAGGACCATTGCTGGAATTAACTCTATATAATACTTAACTAAAGTTGAGTCTCGGATATTGGGATGATTATGATCAAGTACTTGGAGTGGGTGAGACATAAATGGAGACAAGTAAGAGCATCCACATCAGTGGTTATTATGGAGTTATTGTCAGATGAATTATCTTGGGTGGGGTTAATAACAAATGTGAGGTGGGGCGGTTATTTTAGAAGATATTTATCCTGCAAATATGAAGATAATGTCAGAAAGAAAGAAAAAGTAAAAACAAAAAGTTAACAAAAACCCGCACAGCCCATGGCTACAGTGCACGCACCTGTGTGGACAGCGCGCCTGACGCAACAGTTTTTTTATTAATTTTTTTTTAATTTCAATTTTTGTTATTTTATTTCTTTTTTGTCTCTCTCTCCTCCCACATTCTCTCTCCTAATCACTCTTACATTATCCCTTAATTCTCCCCAACCATTGTGGATGCTCTAATAAATGGATGTGGAGGCCTATAAACAATAGAAAGCTCTAAGCACAACTTTTGTTTTTTTTTTTAACCGTGATTGACATTACTTACAAGGAATTGACTATAAATTTATCATTATTGGCTATTAGAGCAATCCCAATAAAGAGGTTGTGCACGGGTTGTAAGAGAACAAGTAGGGATGGCAACGGGGCGGGGTGGGGGCGGGGAATGGGGTCCCCGTCCCCGACCCCGAAATAGATCCCCATTCCCCGTGCCCGCCCTGTTCCCCCGGCGGGGATGGAGAATTATTTGTTGGTGATAATGAACCAAAATCGATTTAATATCTCAAAAATAATATTTATATATACACACACAAGTATATAAAATATTATTGGATATTTATCCGAAATATATATATACACACAAATATATATATATAACGGAACCAGCGATTATATATACATGTATATCTACGAAAAGATATACCAATATATATCAACCAAAAATTGGAACAATTAATCCTCAGATTATGAGTCCAATCCAACGGCAAAACACATATGGAGAACGGATTTTGCTTAGAAGCATAATCCAAAACCGAAAGAAGGAAAGATGGCTCGTGTATGGGTAAGGGTTTTTAGCGTGAGTCAAGAGACCACTCTTTCCTTAAAACCTTATTTGCCACCTCCCACAAGTGTTAGGAGCGTCGTGGCCTAGGTTTCCTAGGATAAAACGCGCTACGGTTCGACGTTTGAGCACCCAAACGAACGAACCCGGCGAACTAGAGCAAAGCCTTGAACACAGTTAGGCTTAAGAAAGGAGTAGAAGCAGAAGAATTTTGAAGCTTGAAAGCAAATTTTCGTGTAGAGCTCTTGTGGTTTTTCCTTGGTGTGTAAAGCTTCTACCTTCTACCCCTTCTTATATAAGAGTGGTGTACTAAATAGCATTTATCATGGCGTTAATTACACGTTGTGTAACATCTGAAACAGCAACCCCCATTAACAGAATTAAATTCAAAATTCAAAACTGGAGTTAATGGATTGTTGGCCTTCAGCCTCACCAAGTTTCGGCCTAGGGCCGAAACTTTTAGCTTTGCCAAGTTTCGGCCCAAGGCCGAAACATTGCTGCATTCAATTTCGGTCTGGCCGAAACTATCAAGTTTCGGCCTCCCAAGGCCGAAACCATGGTTCAGTTCGGCCTGGGTCTTGGCCGAACCCAAGTGGCTATTGCGTTGAAAAATACGATAGGTTTCGGCCTCCCAAGGCCGAAACCATGGTTCAGTTCGGCCTGGACCGAGCTCGTCTCGGTCTTGGCCGAACCCAAGTGGCTATTGCGTTGGAAAATATCGAAAGCGGTCTTGGTCGAACCCAAGTGGCTATTGCGTTGGAAAATATGCTCGGTCATGGCCGAACCCAAGTGGCTATTGCGTTGGAAAATATCGAAAGTTGGCATAACTTAGCCCGCAAGGCCAGCCAGTTTCCAGCGCACACGAGCTCGGGCTTGAATCAAGCATTTCCGAAGTCATCTCTAGTTGGAATTTGATTTGCACCCCCATCCCCGCGGGGATTTTTGGGGACGGGGAATCCCCGCCCCGTTTTTTGAATTATGCCAATAGAAAAAAAAAATTATATTATGTATTATCAAATTTTAAATTGGTAAGCATTCAATCTTTAAACAAATCACATAAACAAAACACATAAACAAATCAGGTTAATTAATAAACTCATTCTCTCACACTCTCACGGTACTAAATACAAAATACAATTAATCATTAACTTGCCTGTATATATGTTGTGTAAATAATTAAATCTGAAGTGAAATAAATAAGAGAACTGATTCTCAATGCTTCCTATTTTGGTCACTTACCAAATGCTAAATAATAATCCATACGTACTGTGATTACTGTCCGCCTATATATATGTTGTACAAATACTTACTAATTACTAAATACACTAATGCATATTGTGATTACTTACTTGGGAAATGAGGATTTTTATTTTTGATTTATATATATATATATATATATATATATATATATATATATATATATATATATATATATATATATATTATACGGGGAACGGGGATCGGGGTCGGGTTCGGGGTGGGAAATGCCCTCCCCGCCCCCGTTACCTGAAAAAATTTCCTGAACCCGCCCCTGTCGGGGCGGGGATCGGTGTTTCCCATCGGGGACGGGTTAAATTGCCATCCCTAAGAACAAGGTGTAAGGTGGAAAAGAAATGAGAGAAGAGATAAAGGTGAGAGTGTGTTGCAGGAGTTAAGGTTTTTTGTCCCACAAAGAAAAGAAACAATCATTTTTTAGAGCACACATAATACAATTATACACATAGCTTATTTGTATTTACCACATTAAAAAATAGAAGTGAAAATGCAAAAATTAAGACTACATATTGGAAAACGGCAAATTATTGTGTCACACAAATTATATTGCACAATGGGGTCGCAATTGCGGCGATGACTATATGTTGTACTAATTGTCAATAAAAATAAAATTATTAAATAACAAACCTTTTTTTTTTTCATTTTTACCCTGGAGTAAAACTTGCACAAATACACCTAGGAAATCGAATCTTTGGGCACTACCGCACTACTGTAACTTTTTCTTTGGAACTGGGACCGCGACTATCGAAATGTGATGTTGAGAACCGCAGTAGCTTAGCGTACGTTACGCACCGAGTCTCGACAATTGACAGGCTGGTTTAAAAAACCTGACCATACTGTCCCAAAAGGATGAATTAACGCGTGACACATTATTTTCATATTAAAATATCACGAGTTTATGTTATATATAAAGATATATTATATATATTATATTTATTTTGTCAACCTATTGAAACATAAATAGTCAATACTGCTTTCACTAAGCCTTGAACTCATTACTTTCTATTTAGAAAAGTAGACCTCGCATTTAAAAGAGTCACTTCATGGTACTATACAATAAAATTATTGACAAAATGTCACGAGTTTAATTCGCATTGAAAATAGAGTTAATTCCAGTAATGGTCCTCTGACTATTGTGATTTTCCAAAATTGGTCCTCGTCTTTTAATTTGGACGATAAAGACCCTTGACTATCAAATTTGTTCCAGCATTAGTCCTTCCGTTAACTATCAGTTTGTTTGGTGTTAGTATAGGGGCTAAAATGGTCATTTCCTTAGCTATTTATGTAGACACTCTCTCCCTCATCTCTAAAGTGGTACAGCATTGACTTTGTTTATAGACTTGCATCCAGGGGGTCCATGACGACGACGATCTGGGTTGAAAATGTAAGCACATGCCAAGCAATAGCATTAACAACTGAACAAGGCATCTTGCAATAATTAACAAATCTGCTTGATATGATTTGAGATGAAAAACATAAAACATAAATCATAATCCATTGATGAACATTTAACAGTGTACAAATTCATCCACTACAGTATACTGATCAGCTCCTGTACTGTTCTATGATTCTACATGATAACTCAACACTGCTTAGATAAACACAGCAGAGAAGCCAAATTATAAACATTGAACAGATAAATCAAAACTGATGGCGTTGGCCGCTGATCGACCCTGAGTACTGCTGAGGCGAACTACTCTGCCTGGGACCGGGATTCTCGCAATGTCGTTACGGATTGAGCTCTCCAGATCGGAGAATACGCTCACAAGTGCTTCTCCGATTCTGTCTCCCGCGGCGGCGATCTCGTGTTTGATCTGGTTCCGACAGAGCTGAATCGCTATATGTCCATGAATTTGAAGAGCTTCTCGGCGGAGCGTTTCATCATCAAAACCGCCTCCCGAAGTCGATGAGGCTGAATCGCCACCGAGCGAACGAAATTGCTGAAAACACTGAGGGAGAAGGACGGATGTTTCGAGAAAACAGACTCGGCGAGTCTCCGTTCTCATAGAAACAAGGTTTCCGAGCAGTATTTCACCCCTCCGATCCATCTTGTGATCTCTCCTTCTAGAGTATCCCAATGCATTCTCTGTACATCCTCCACGTTAATCCTCTCAAAATCGAATTTCTTCATTTGTTCAGAAAATGCATTTCTACGCGAAATCGTATACGCCTCACAGAACTCATTCTCATACCTTGCGGAGATCATGAAGGTGGCGATGCGACCGATTTCCGTCACAACCTCCGGTGAAAATCACGGATACTTCTCTTCTCTGTCGGATTTCGATATACCGGAACCGGCATTCTCATCCTTGGCATTGAACAAAAACTTTGCACACTTTAGCTAAGGAAATGACCATTTTAGCCCCTACACTAACGCCTAATAAACGGATAGTTAACGTGTGCAAAATTTTTGTTGGAACCAATGCTGGAACAAATCTGATAGTCAAGGGTCTTTTTTATCCAAATTAGAAGACGAGGACTAATTTTGGAAAATCACAATAGTCGGGGGACCATTATTGGAATTAACTCTTGAAAATATTATATGTACTCTCATTCCCTACCCTTAACTTTTACATAGACCCACCGAAAGAAAATAGTCTATCAATACCTATTATATAAAAAATAAATTTAATGGAGTCAGATTTGAGAGTACATGTAATTAGGAATGTAAACGAATCGAATCAAGTCAAATATCTCACTATTCGATTCAAATTCGACTATATATTCAAATATTCATATTCGTATTTGTTTAGTATTCGAATTTCAAATTTGATTCGAATTCAATTCGACCCGTTTTTTCGAATATATTCGATTCGACTCGAATATTCGAATTCAAAATGCCTAACTTAAATTTTTACAAAATTCTTCAATAAATTAAAATAAAATGTAATAAAAACTTATATTTAAATAGTATAAAATATTTCAATTGAATACACTCTAATTCGTAATCGTATTTGAATCAAAAAAAAAAAAATATTCGAATCGAATTCGGATTCGAAATATTCGAATTCAAATCAATATATTGAATTCGTATCACCGAATTTTTTTTTATTTAATTGGTTTACACCCCTACATGTAATATAACTCATTACCATCAAATAATAACTGTATTTTCTCTTCTGTCACGAAAAAATCTGACCATGCTGACTCAGCTTGGACCCTTTTCTGGGCCCACACGTCACCGAAACGGATAAGCCCGAATAAATTATGGTGCCCTTTCTGCATTTCATTGTCACCAACACGTAATCAACCGCACCTTCAATCCGATTTGCCCAACTACATATACTCCACCCCTAAATTTTGATTTTCCATATCCATAATCTCATTTTTCCACAAAGAATCAACCTGAAATCATTCATGGCTTCTGCGTCAATTCCTTTCTGTTCCCAATTTTCCGGCACCGGAGTTTCCTCGGCGCGATCGCGGCGGAGCGGTGTGGCGTTCCGTCAGCCGATTTCCACCGTCTCCGCCTCCTGTGCTACGGCGGAGCGGACCAGCAGCGGCGCCGCCACGCACGCCTCGCTCTACGAAGTTCTCGGGATTCAGACGGGCGCCACGTGTCAGGAAATCAAGGCTGCATACAGGAGGCTGGCTAGGGTTTTGCATCCGGACGTCGCGTCTAGCTTTCGCCGGGAATCGTCGGACGAAGACTTCATCAGAGTGCACGCGGCGTACGTCACTCTCTCCGATCCACAAAAGCGTGCGAATTACGACCGGACTCTGTTCCGGCCGGGGCAGAGCAGGCCGCCGGTTGTGTTTTCTGGTGTTAACAGTCGCCGGAATTGGGAAACTGATCAATGCTGGTAGCTGAAGGGAGTGATAATCACATATTAGGCTTAATTCTTTGATTTTATGAGCAGGTTACCTTTAATCTCGCTATAACTTCATTGACGACAAGTTTGAAACTCAAAATTTTGCTGTAAATCCTAAGTTTTCATGAGTTTAAGTCTGAATATTCATTAATGTGCAAAAGATGCTTCAACAAATTGCTTATCGATCTATTTTTTCTATTATTACTTTACTCTTTACAGCTAAAAATCTAAAATCAATATTATTAAGAAAAATATTACCTGTACACCATTTCCTACTCTCAATTTTCTCCCACACTTAAAATATTAATAACAAAATAATCCATTGCTCGTCAAAAAAAAAAAAATAATAATCAATTGAAACCCGTCACATCATGGAATAAATTTGAGAAAGTAAGATTTGATTTGAGAAAGTAAGATTTGATTCAACATGTAGTAGAACTCTTGTTAAACCAGCAATCATAATTATTACAGTATTCATTCCTAGTACTCAATTCAATGTCTGTGGGACCACAAAAATAAATACAACATACATACACTATAAATTATAAAATAGTTTTTTTTTTTAATGTTAAAATCTTAGGTCAAACTGAATTTAATACTCAATCATTAGAATTTTGACTTCGAAAGTAATCAAATTTGACAATTAACAATTTATTTTACAATCAATAATTACCTTACTCATTTGTTCAGAGACATTTGGAATTAACTTTTTGGAGAAAAAAATAAAATCATTTTAAGGTCACCTGACATTTTTAGTGTGTATGTATTAGGGCATCCTCAATAGTGAGAATTTTGGCGTGGTTTTTGAGGAGTTTTTGTAGGTATGATTAGGAAAGAGAAAATGAGAAAAAATAAAAAATGAAGAAAAAGAAAAATGAAAAATGAAAAAAGAAAAAGAAAATGTACCAAAATCTGTCAAAATTTGACAAAATCTGCCAAAATCTGACAGGAGAGAGAAATCGTTTGCCTTTTTCCTTTTCTCACCCATTGAGGGCCCACAAAAATACTACAATAGCAGGAGAAAAATGTAAGCTAAAATCTACCCACCACATTTGTTAAAAACTCAAGATTTAAATTTTACTATTCCAAAATCCAAGTAAAAGTTCCTATTGGGGATGCCCTTAGGTTTAAAGTGGACGGAGAAAAATATACATTCTAAAGTCAATTGTTTATGACTTGACATTTTTAGTTGTGTGTATTGGGTCTAAGACGGATGAAGAAAAAAAATCATTCTAAGGTCGATTGTTTACGACATGAAATTTTTAGTATGTACATTGGGTCTAAGGAGGATGGAGAAAAGATAGGTTATTTATGACCTCACACTTTTAGTGTTTATGATCTGACATTTTCAGTGTGTATATTTAGTCTAAGAGCACCATTATCAGGGGAGATTGTCAATGAAAATAACTCAGATGGAGATCATGCATTGATGTGGAGATTAATTTATGGAGATCATGCATTGATGTGGAGATTAATTTTTGAAGAAAGAATTCTCTGGCAAGATCTTGCAGGAATTAATTTAAAAAAACAAAACAATAAACGCTAAAGCAGCGCGTTAGGCGCAATTTGCGCCCACAACGGGCGCGTGTGGCAAGAATTGATTTAAAAAAAAAAAACAAACAAAAAAAAAACAAACAAAAAACGCTGAAGCAACGCGTTAGGTGCAATTTGCGCCCACAACGGGTGCGTTAGAGACTTAGAGTGGCCCCCAGCTTTTCAGTAACTTGCAGCGCGTTAGGCGCAATTTGCACCCACAACGGGCGCGTTAAAGACATAGAGTGGCCTCCCAGCTTTTCAGTAACTTTTTACTGTTTTTCTTTTTAATGTCAGATTTCTTTTTGTTTTTTCTTTTTCTTTTTTATCCACATTTTTTTCTCTTTCCTAATCATACTTACAAAATCTCTCAAAAACGGGATTAAACTAATGCGGATGCTCTAAGGTGGATGGAGAATTAAATATTCATTCTAATTAAGGTCGATTCTTTATGAGTTATGACTTGACATTTTTAGTGTGTGTATTGAGTCTAATGTAGATGGAGAGAAAATATGCATTCTAAGGGTGATTATTTATGACTTTGACATTTTTAGTGTGTATTAACTATTAATATTAAGTATAAGGTGGACGGAAGTGTGTTCATTGTTGGCTGGCGGCAAATCGCAACGACTAAACACACATCAAACATTGCTCTGCGGTTCTTTGTCATTTTGTGAATAACATAATAATTTGTTTGCCGACTTTGAACTTTGAAGTCGACGAAAAGGGAAAAAATTTAACCAATTGTCTTATGATAAGTGAGATCGGAGACAAGCCGTCAACATAATGGAACTGTATTAGTAGAAGTTTAACGTTAAGAAGCCCAAATTGGAATTTGATTTTATTATTACTATTTTAAGTACATCGGCCAGATGGAGTTTGATTGTTGCTGTAGAATGATTGACAAGCTTGGGAAACAGATTTAATTTAATGAAAAGGACAAATATATTCAATTTATTATTATTTTTTCTTTCCACCGACAATACAGATGGGCTAAGAAAGAAGATATTTTGTTCTGCAAGTTCTCAAGACATTTGTTTAATGAATAAGAAATCAAACTTAAAATTTACTTCTAATGGTAAGACATGAGTTTGATTCGAATATTGGGGTTTGGATTTAAATTGTATTTTTTTGTGCTTATAAATATACAATTTAGTATTATATTTTAAAATTAAATTGATTCGATTTATTTTGGTAAATTATTGTGTAGACCATGACCTACATTTTTAATATGTTAAAAAATATAATTTTTTTTGAATACAATATACACTTTTAATATACTAAAGGTGCATTATTTGTGTACTTAATATACATTATTTGATAGTATAGTTCACATAGTTGTGTGGACCATTGTCCACATAATAATGATTGATTTATCTTATTATGGGCTTGGGCAGGTTTAAGGGATCCAAAATATAATTAATAACGATATTTAAAGGATTTACAAATATGACAATATGATGTGACAACAATTAAATTTCAACTTATTTAAAGTTACGGATCGTTATGCTATGCATCTGTATGCACCATGCATGGTGCATACGGGTGCAAAAACGACGTCGTTTTATTAAAAACGCGCATCCCACTTAAAAAAAAATTAGTTTTGATTTCCTTTAATAGCATTATGTTGTTCATTCATTCTGGAATTTTAGTTTATAGATTCTGGAATTTTAGTTCATTGATTATGGATATTTAGACGTGAATTGAAACTGATTTTTTTTCATTCATGCTGGATATTTAGTTCATTCATTATGGATATTTAGTTCATTCATTATGAATTTTTAGTTCATTCATTATAGAATTTTAGTTCATAGATTCTGAAATTTAATTCATCGATTCTGGAGTTTTAATTCATTGATTCTGGATATATAATTCAAATTATGCACAATATAATATTGTTGCTGGGAATCGAAACTGATTTTTTTTTTTTTAAGTGAGAGGCGCATTTTTAATAAAACGACGTCGTTTTTGTATACGTATGCACCATGCATGGTGCATACGGATGCATAGCATAATTTGCCTAAAGTTACTATCACTAGATATAAAACATTGGGAAAAGGGTCAAATAGGCCCTCGAACTTTAGCTTAAAAGTCAATTAGGCCCCTAAACTTTTTAAAGGTGCAATTACACCCCTCAACAATTCATTTAAGTGCAATGAAACCCAAAAACAAATTAATGACCTGCTATCATAGGTCATTAGGATTCAGGCCACCTTCCGGCGAATTTTCCGGCAAAAAAAAAAAAAAAAAAAAAAAAAAAAAGTGGCCGGCGAAATTTCCGACAAAAAAGTGACCGGCGAAATTTTCGACAAATCTGGGTCGGTTGCTAGTCACTTTTTTTGCCGGAAAATTCGCCTGAAGGTAGCCTGAACCCTAATGACCTGTGATAGTAGGTCATTAACTTATTTTTGGGCTTCATTGCACCTAAATGAATTGTTGATGAGTGTAATTGCACCTTTAAAAAGTTTAGGAACCTAATTGAGTTTTAAGCTAAAGTTCGAGGGCCTATTTGACCCTTTTTCCTAAAACATTACTCCGTATATATATATAACTAAAGACAAAAAATCAGTGTAGGGCCCAAAGATATAGCTCATGTTGCTAACTATGGTTGACAATTTGCATTTACCCTGGCAAATTATGCTGTGCATCCGTATGCACCATGCATGGTGCATACGGATGCAAAAACGACATCGTTTTAATAAAACGCGCGTCTCCCCTTAAAAAAAAAAAATCAGGTTCGATTCCCAGTAACAACATATGAATTAAAATTCCATAATCGATAAATTATAATTCCATAATCGATGAACTATAATTCCATAATCTAATCTATGAGCTAAAAATTCCAGAATGAATGAACTAAAATTCCATAATCTATAAACTAAAATTTCAAAATCGATGAACTACAATTCCATAATCGATGAACTATAATTCCATAATCAATGAACTATAATTCCATAATCTATGAACTAAAATTCCAGAATGAATAAACAATATAATGTTGTTGCTGGGAATCGAACATGAATTTTTTTTTAAAGGGAGACGCGCGTTTTTTAATAAAACGACGTCGTTTTGGCATCCGTATGCACCATGCATAGTGCATACGGATGCACATCACGATTGATTTACCCTTGCATGAGTTAGGTTTATATTTTAACCTTCTATTCATAATGGGTAGTAAGCCAAGTTCAAGTTTTAAAATATATATCTTATTCTACTTCACATGTCTATTCTTAATAGATTACTTATAATATAATTAATATTGGTGCGTGTACATATATACCGTGATTATATGAACTCTAATACTAAGATAACAATATGTGATATAATAAGAATATTTGAACATACAAATTACACACATATAGTATGTAAAAATGTCACAAATAGAGTGTCTAATGAGTTGAATGATATGTAACCATACGTGGCTATCAAATATAATTAACTTTAAAGTTTTAGAGAACATCAAATTACAAATATTTAGAACAAAAATAATAGAGTAATTTAACGGCATAAGAGATAAAATTAAAGTTGGATCCAAACAGTACAGTGAACCTGAAAGTTGTATTTATACTAGGATTCTCTTGAAATTTTAAGAATCATTTAACATAACCGTGAAATTAACAACTTCAAGTGACACCTCATATGTTACGTAGCG